ACTTCTTCTTAATTGCCTTCAGTTTAAAATAATTCTTACACAAAAGTGGCACATTTTGGGGTGGCATATTCTGATCCCCTTCAGTCTAGAAGTCAGCTTGGTGGTTCTGCTGGTCTGGACAGGGTCTGGCGGTTGGCTGGCTATTGGCTGTGGCACTGGGTTTGCCTGGGTCACACCATCATTCAGCAGAATAGGCTGGGCTTACTCACGTGACAGCAGCAGGGTTCCTGGAGAGAGAGTGGAAACATGCAAGACCTTTTGAGGCCTAGGTTTCGAAAAAGCAAAGTCAATTCTGCTGCATTCCATGGGCCAAAGCAAGTTACAAGGCCGACCGCATTAAAGAGGTGGAGAAACCGACTCCACCCTTGATTGAGGGTTGCTGCAAAGTGACATCGTATGAGTACAGGGAGGGAAGAATTTATAACTGTCTTTAAACCTCTCCACACTCTGTTCTAGGCAAAGAGGCTTTCTCACTATTCCAGGGCAGGACCCTGCTTTCCTAACTCTGAACATTTGTTCAAGGTATTTCCTCTGCCTCAGAAGTCAGCTCCTCACCCATCTTGGGGTTCAAATTCCATCCCTCCTGCAAAGCCCATCTGTAAAATGAATTCATCCACAAAACCTTTCCCCATCCCTTCAGCTAAAAGTGGTTTCTCACTCAGAAGAAGTTGAAATGCTACCACACACTCTACAAGTCCATCAGTTCTGAACTATTTGTGACCATAGGTATAGCTATATGCAATTGAAAACAATCTTTTTCATCTTAGTGTATAAAATGACTATGATTTAGGGTGATGGTTTTGATTAAATTGAATTTGCTGTGATTTCTTCATTCACCTCTGCTGTAAAAGGAAGCTGGCATTCATGGCTACCTGCTTATAGCTTTGTAGCAAAATTACTATGTATGACTTTTGTGATTATCTTTACTGTTACTTTGGAGCTCAGGTTTCACTGTTAGGCCCCAAAGTACACTTTTTCAAATTATCTCTGCTTTTAACGTATAGTATTTTAGAAGATCCTAAATTTACCTTTAAATTTTGTGACTTAGAACATGAAAATGGTGCTGGGTTTGGATTTGATGTCTATTATTTCTGTCTGTGATACTATTATGCACTTGTTTGAAAACCAGGAGAACACTCATTTTTGTTTATTGGCTCACCGCATACCTCCTAAATTCCACTTAAGTCCCACGGTGTAAGGCACCCCCGCAAGGAGATATTAAGTATACTGTGTGATGTAATGCTTGAGGGCGGTACTTCTAGAACATAGGAAAACAGATGGGTTTCTGAGATGTCAGTTGTATCCTATGTTTCAATTTGAGTGTGCCAGTCTGCTGTTTATCAAGGCTTTGTACAAGTCGTGTTTGTGAGAGAGTAAATCAGTTTTATTCCTTAGAGGATGGGGAAAAAATACACAGCTGTATACACAGCTGATAGTGATATAGTGTTTTTTTTCCCGATAATGGTATTTCAAGATAATTCAAATATTTTGAGGAGGAGTGAATATTCTATTCCAGTGCTATCTTACTATGAAATGAAGAAGATCAGACTCAGGGAATTTAAATCACTCACAACTATTTGGCAGTAATGACACTGCTGAAAATCAGGAAAAAAAGAATTCAACAATAAATGAAGACCCAAATAAACTATGTCAAAACAAGCAAAAAAAAAATAAAACCAATACACACACACACACACACACAAGCGCTTTGTTGGTGATGGGGTTAATATATATATATATATATATCCATTCTCGTTTAATACCATTTGCATTTTTAATCTAGGCCTCAGAATGTGTTCTCCTTTCCATCACCATTCAACCTTTTTTTGAAAATAGAAATGCCATTCACTCATCCAAATGAATTTTTAAATTATGGTTTCTTACACTTTTTTGTGCTATGGACACTTTTGGTTGTCTGGTGAAAGGAACATTTTCAGAGTAACATTTTTAAATGCATTGAACAAAATACATGGGACTAAAAGGAAAATCAATTATAATGAAATATAATTATCAAGATATAAGTAAATTTGTGATGGAGTAACACGTGTGGTTGTATTAAATAAGATTTAGTGTCAGTCTAACGACTACCAAAATTTCAAAGTAATAAGAAAGTTGCAACAATTATCATTTAACAAGGAAATATCTGTGATTGCTAGAGGTGTCACTATCTCTGGTATTACTAAAATTAATACATTTTACTTAGATGCTATTACAGATGTAATTTTTTTTTTCTCATCCAAGTTCATGGACCTTCTGGTGGATTTGTAACTTCAGTGGCCTCCGTGAGTACTCGCTCCTGGTGGGTGACCCCTCCCACACTGATGCTGGGCTGACTGTCTTCCAGAGGGATGTCAGCAAACCCGCCTCCAACAGAGTCATTCATAGGGCGTGCCCTCCAGAAAGGCTGCCATACATAACAGAGACCTGGTCTAACCCTTTTGAGGGTGAAAGAGAAACGTACAGGATTCCCAGTCACCCCAAATGAGCCCAAACTCCAACCCCTAGCCCCATACATTAGCCCAGGTGACACCAGCAACCCACAGAACTGTGAGAAATAACAAATGGTTTTTGTTTTAAGCCGCTAAAATTTGGCCTGTTAGGCGGGGATACATAACTGATACGGACCCCTGAATTTTGTCCACTGATCCTTTGGACTCCGGATTGAGATCTGTGAGTGCTTTTCACTATCAGTGTTTCAAAGCTCCCACACTGTTGAGAGATCACTAACCCCTCGCTCCTCTAAGTGTGGGTCGCGGACCGGCAGCACCCACATTCCAGAGCTTGTTGGGAATGCAGCATCTCAGGCTTTACTCCAGACCTGCCGAATCAGAATCTGCAATTTTACAACAGCCCCAGAAGATTCGTATAAGCGTTTAAGTTTGCAAAGCACTTGAAAGTATGCACATTCAAGTTTGAGAAGATGAGCCAGCCCCTTATAATTAATCCTCCCTTTTAGAAACTTTCTTCACTCTCTATTAGAAATATTTTCTGGCTAAGTGTTCCGTCGTGCCCAGGTGAGTTGAAGCCTTACTGCCTCCTATTCAAAAGCTCCAGGCGCGCTGTCTGGGGTCTAACGTGTCTGCGGGGCTGCGATGGTCTGTTTTGTGTCAAACGGCAATGTTATGGAAGGACCGGGGGGTTATAGGCATGTGAAGTCTGTTGGAAATAAATTAACGAAAGAATGAATGAATGAAACCTCCCAATCAATAAAACTCCAGGCACAGAAAATCGCTTTAATTAGTAAACTGGAACTCCTCCTACCAAGTTTGTTTAATTTGCTGTGTTTAAGAAGTGGGCTGGCTTTGCTGGGTGTGGGCCCCTGTCCCGGGCAGGGTGGCCAGGAGCAGAGGTGGTGGCGGCTCCGTGGAGTGTCAGGCCACGCCCCCGGGAGCGCGACCCGCGCAGTTTGTCCCCTCGCAGTGCCCGTATAAGGCGGGCCCCGCCCCTGCCTGGGGCGGCGCGGGCGCCGCGCTGGCTCCCTGGTGGCGCCTCAAACCAGCCCGCCGTACGGCGCATGCCTGGGCCGCTCCAAAATCTGGCGCGCCTAGTTTTCCCGCAGCCCGGTGGTGAAATCCGCACCCAGCTCTGCGCCTGCAAGTGGGGAAAACCCAGGGTTTTCAGGGCTCTGGAAACAAAAGGAATGCTGATTCCAGGCTAGCCGCGGGGTTCTAGGGAAGCTGATGACATAATGATTCCTTGTCTGAGTGGGTCACATGTTTGCAGACATCATCTCACTTAATGCATTAACCATCTCCATGGAGTTGTTCCTGATTTGCACTAAGGCAGAAGCCTCAGAGGCGCCCAGTGCAGACTGGAGGACTCCCAAAGCTAGTGTTGGAGCTGGGCTCAAACCCAGGAGACCAGCCGCCACTTCTTGCGGCTCCATTACAGCTCGGCTTCCTGGAGGAGCAGCTCCTCCTAACCGGTCCTGCCCCCTTCATTTGAACCGTGGCCGCTGCCAGCCTGCTCCCGGGTCCCCGGAGGGGTTGGGGTGAAGGCAGAGCATCCCTTCCTGGCTCTATTAGGGACGTGGAGGCCAAGGTGAATCTTGAGGGCGGGGCACCGTATTCAGTGAACCTGCGCGCCCCCACCTGTCAGACGCGGGACGCGGGGTAGGAAGGGTGGGGTCTTGGGGCTGGGGTAGGGTGGGGTGTTTTTGCTGAGCGGCTCTGAATGGGGCAGCAGGAGAAAGGCAGAGCTGATACCTTGGTTAATGTGGCCCACAGGTAACCCTGTGGCTCACAGGAGGCCTTCTGGGTGATTGTGATTGACTGACTGACTGAATTTATTCTCCTGGACTGGAGGGGTGGGGGGGTGGGGGGAATCACTTCTACCAGAGGTACTCAGTCTTAAAGAGACGGTCGTTCTCACCCCTAACTCCCTTACGATTAAAACCAAACTACTAAACTGTAACATAAGTGCAAAAAAGTCCAATTAAGATCTTATTTCAGCCAGTATAACCATTCTTGTCTGCATTTGAAACATCCAGTACCCTTTTTATTTTTATCTCTTGCTTCTTTGGCTTTAGAGTAGCGGAGAGAGCCCTAGCGCAGCTTCCCACTAACAAGCTCTGCTAATCTTCTCAGTTGCTTGCTCTGTAAATTGGACGAGCTAACTTCTGCACCATAGGGTAGAGCCAGGTCCTTGTTAAGGGCTGAAAAACTGTGTTTTTGGTAATCCGATCCCCAGGATTGTGATTTTTGCTCTGCCCCTAAATTACTGCGACCCCCTCTTCTTCCTCCTCCTCTGTTTTTCAGGGAATGAGGGTGGGTTCTAGCTTTTCGCGCTTCTAGGCTTCTGCCTTACTGCAAATCACTCCGCCCTGGTCGCCCTCTGTGACTTCCAGGCCACTGCCTGCTTCGGGGATCTTTGCAACCTGGTGACCTCGAGCGGCGGCGCCCAGGCACCCCGGCCCCGCCCCTCCGGGCCGCCGCCAAACCCCGGCGCACGGATCACGCAGGCGGGAGCCGCTCTGGGCATGCTCAGTGGCGCGGCAGGTGGGGCCACCGCGGGACGCCAGGTCCGGTCCGAAGAGGAGGGGCCGCGGCGCGGAGGGAAGTGGGCGGGAGCCGAGGGCCGAGTCGCCAAAGTCGCCGGCGGCCGTGGGGCGCCGGGCAGGTGGGAGCCCGCGCGGGCCGGGCCGGGATGAGCAATGGCATCGGTCAAGGTGGCCGTGAGGGTCCGGCCCATGAATCGCAGGTGAGTGGGGCCGCCTGCGCCCCCTCCCCCCGGCGCGCCCACACCCAGAGGAAGTTGGTCTGCTGCGCTCCTCAAAGGCCATCCTGGACTTAAATGTCATGGGCCGGTGTCCGGCCCACCGGGCCCTGGCTGTGGCTTCTGGGGGCGTGGGGGCCTGGAGCATTTCGTGCTTTGCTGTCCCTTTCACGCTGCCCTGGAGGGGACCTTGGGGTGAAGAGTTCAGGAGACCACAGAGAAGATTCCTGTAAACTCTTCCCCATCCCATTAACTTGAGGAGGTTTGCTTGTTCCCCTTTTAAAAAGCATGAAGGGATCACTTCCGTGAAGGTGTAAAATCCCTCGAGGGGAACGTGAGGGTGACCGTGGGGACACCACGAGCTGTCAGGCCAACTCCCCTCGATTATGCCACCTCGAGAAGTTCTCTGTTAACAATGTTACTTTTTAATCTCTTAGTAAGACGTGGTTTCCATTCCCTCGATGTGAACCCTAACTTTTAATCACTAACTTAGCAGTTCTTCAGGTTAAAGAGTGGATGGGAAAACTTGAACAAAGTTTTGACTCCTGGAGGAAAAAAAATTCAAGGACGCTTAAGTACACGTGTTTGAAATATACTGTTGTTAAAAGAGGGGGGAGTTGTAAACGCATTTAGAATTTAATCTTGTTCTGTGTTGCTACAAAGTCATGCTTTTCAGAATGATTTGACTCTTCATTCACTGTAAAATACTCTGTGCTTCCTTTTCAATGACCTCTTTATAATCAGTTTTAAAAGATGCTTTAGAAGAGTTACTTTTTAAATTGGCTTAACTTCAAAGAATGAAGTAGACCTAAGTGGGCTGTGTCCTCCTAGCCTATAGGCGCAGTTCACACTAGGCTGTTTGGTTTTATTGGCTTCGCAGTCAAGTTGGACATTTGACTTACTGTATGGCCTTTCCGCTTTCTTCATATCAGCTTGTGGAGGTCAATGTTTGGTAGTTGTGACAGCTGATTGGGGCATCAGAAGATTATAAAATCAAGAGATTGCTAGAACCTTCTTTGACTCCCATGAATCTTTTTTTCTATTGGCAAGTGGGAAATCTTTATTCTGCGTTGTAACTATTGGAAACCAGTGCTTTTGTCACTTTCAAGTTATTTCTAAAGCTTTTTAGGAAAGGAGTTTGACTTTTTTGTAAATCCTAAGAGAATATGTATGTTTCTGTGTATATTCAGTCATACAAGACAGCAGACCCCAAAGTCATTTAAATGATTTAAAAGGACTTTCCTTTATTCTGGGTTTACATGTATATAAAAGTTCCTTTCCTTTGGAGTAATAATGAGCACATGCTAGAAGACTGTATTGAGTAACTTTAGAAAGCATTTATTAAGTGCCTACAAAATGCACAGCATTGTGCTGGGTGCTTTCTGGAGAACAAGGTGAATGAGGTCTGACGAGTGTCTTCTAGGAGACTCCTGTCTGGTGAGGGAGGGACTACACACTGGCAGGACTTATAAAACGTCCGGCCTGCTGGGAGGGTGCTGCGAGGGCAGTGCCTTGCAGGTGTAGGCCTGGAGCCTGCCTGGAGCCAGGTACATGGAGGGATGGCAGGAAACGTGTCCAGAAGCCATGTGCTTTGAGGAGATAGGTTGACGTGATGATATTTGTACTCTCAGCAGAGAACTCTAATGGTGGCATCAGGATTAGGGCACGAGGTAAGGAAGGAGCAGTCTGGGCCACAGGTGGAAATGGGAAGGCTGGATAGACACACCCAGACAGTTTACTGGCAGAGTTGACAGGATTTGGCAGCTCTCATTGGATGGGAAGGAGGGGGATGGGGAAGAACATAGAGTCATTAGCCAAGGTTTGATGCTCAAGGAGGTGGAACAGGTTTGGGGAAGGTGGACGATGAGGTTGGTGTGTTCTCTCTTGGGTATGTAGAGTTACAGGAAATGCAGTAAGTATCAGCTACAAGTATAGTGTCCGGCACAGAGCTAGTGCTGCCCGAGTGTTGACCCTGTTCATTATTTGAAGTGTGGGCAGGACATCCATCTCTTTGCTGGTGTTCAGTAGACTGTTAGAAACATGGGTTTAGTTCTCAGGTGATTTGAGGGTTAACATTTGGAAATCTTTTGCACATAAATGTTAGTTTAAGAAGTGAGGAGGAGATGTCTCAGGAGGAGAATATCTTATTTTTATGTATAAAGCACAGATACACACACACACAACAGTAGACCGAAAAAAAAGAAAAGGATGTTATGGTGGGAAGAAGAGGGAACCACCAGGGATTAGACATTGGGATATGCTTCTCTTTAGGATTCAGGGAGAAGATTGGTTTGCAGCTGGTGGAGGAGAACCAGCACAGCAAGTTATCATGGCAGGGAAAGGAGAAATATCTCCTGAAGGACGTGGTGGTTGTTGGTGTCGAATGTTGCTAAGATGGTGCCCTTAAATGATGCAAGATGAGGTCCTTGGTCTTGGGGACAGGGGCATTGGTAACCTTCCAAAGACCGATTTCAAGGAGAGACAATGATCCAGAAGTTGGCAGTGAAATAGAAAGAGATGTACAAATGGCCAATGAAAAACAGTTGACCTAATTCATAAGGAAAGCATGCAAGTTATCACAGCAGTAAGAAATCATTTTTTACCAGTGATATTGGTGAATATTAACTGAACATAAAGTGCTGGCGCAGGAGTGGTGATGGGAATCCTAAAAGTTCAAAACCTCTGAAACTTTAGTATTGGGAAATTTGACAGTAGCTGTCAAGATTGGAAATTTATAAACCCTTTGATAGGGCAATTTCATGTATAAGGATTTGTTTTAGGGATTATATTCCTACCTAGCAAGATGAATGTATCAGGGTGTTAGTTGCATCATTGTTTGTAACAATAAAAAGTCATAAATGACCTAAATCTACCAAGATGGGGGATTTGTTAAATTGTCGCCTATTCATTTGGTAGAATGCTGTGTAGCACTTGTAAAAGAATGTGTTGATCTTAAAAGAGTTCCAAGATAGGGGATTAAGTGAGAAAAGCAAGATATCTACACATAGACACACATACTACAGTAGAATTGTGCATGTGTTAAAAATGTATACATACACCCACACAAAGCTGTATGTGTATAGAATGATTCATGGGAAGCCTAACAACGGTAACTTTAAGGAGGAGGACTCATGAAGGAGGAGGACTCAGGATCTGTTAGGCAAAGATGGAAGGCTTTTCTTTTTTTCTTTTCACTGTTTGACTTTTCACTTTGCTCATGGATAGATTTTTTTTTCTTTTTTTTCTTTGTGAGGAAGATTAGCCCCGAGCTAACATCTGTTGCCAATCCTCCTTATTTTGCTGAGGAAGATTGGCCCTGGGCTAACATCTGTGCCCATCTTCCTCTACTTTATATGTGGGACGCTGCCACAGCGTGCCTTGACAAGCAGGGCGTAGGTCTGCGCCCGGGGTTCCAAACCTGTGAACCCCAGGCTGCCAAAGCAGAGCACATGTACCTAACCACTATGCCTCTGGGCTGGGCCCTCATGGATGATTTTATACTTAATAATTAAAAACTTGTTTATGTAATTTTTAAAAGTTACCTAAAAAGTCATTGGCACTGGAGAAAGAATTTTTAGCTGGTTGTCCGGGAGGACTGAAAGAAGTTGTTAAATTTTTTTTCCAGTTTTATTGAGATATAATTGACATACACCACTGTGTAAGTTAAGGTGTACAGCATAATGACTTGAGTTATATATATTGTGAAATGATTACAGTAAGTTTAGTTAACATCCATCATCTCATATGGATACAAAAACAAAAAGAAAAAAAAGTTTTTTCCTTGTGATGAGAACTCTTCGAATTTACTCTCTTGACACCTTTCAAACATATCATACAGCAATGTTAAGTATAGTCATCATGTTGAACACTACATCCCCAGGACTTGTTTATCTTATAACTGCAAGTTATAAGTTTGTACCTTTTGACCTCCTTCACCCATTTCACCTACTCCCCACCTCCTGCCTCTGGTAACCACAAATCTGATCTTTTTTTCTATGAGTTTTTGTTTGTTTTGTTTTTAGATTCCACATATAAGTGAGATCATACAGTATTTGTCTTTCTCTGTCTGCCTTATTTCACTTAGCATAATGCCCTCAAGGTCCATCCACGTTGTCACAAATAGCAGGAGTTCCTTCTTTTTTATAACTGAATAATATTCCATTGTATACATATACCACAACTTCTTTATCCATTCATCTGTTGATGGACACTTAGGTTGTTTCCATGTCTTGGCTATAGTGAATAATGCTGCTATGAACATGGGGGTGCAGATATAAAACTTTTTTTTAATGTTAATTTTTAGAGTAGAGGAGCTTCAGGCAAAAAGGAAGCAGCTAACAGACAGGAAAGGCCTGGAGTGACAGGGAAGTGAGGATGATGGTTGCAGCCAGGCTCTTAAAGGTTACGGAAGGTGGTGAGATATTGAGTTTCTGAGCCAGGAGCCTTTGCAGTAACCAGTCCTTGCAATAAACACCCAATTCTTTTTTTTTTGTTGAGGAAGATCAGCCCTGAGCTAACATCCATGCCAATCCTCCTCTTTTTGCTGAGGAAGACTGGCCCTGAGCTAACATCCGTGCCCATCTTCCTCCACTTGTTGTGGGACGCCGCCACAGCATGGCCTGACACGCGGTGCATCGGTGCGCGCCTGGGATCTTAACCCTGGGCCGCCAGCAGCGGAGCGCACACGCTTAACTGCTATGCCACGGGGCTGGCCCCTAAACACCCAATTCTTAATTCAGGCCAAGATGTGATGAGTTTGTTTTTACTATTGTGTGGCTTTTGGTTATGTGGCAGACGTAGTAGTTTCAAATTCGAAAGCCATTATGTTGCATGGCATGAGCAGCTGCCTTTACTGAGAATTTGCTCTGTGCCAGGAGTGCAAACTGTAACCTTTGCAACACTCTTAGCAGGTAGAGACTATTATTGTCATGCCTTTTTATAGACTGGGAAACATAGTTAACTTGCCCAAAGTCAGTTTCTTAGGA